AAATAACTTTTAGGCCCGGCGCGGGTGGCTCAAGCCTGTCAATCCCAGCACTTTTGGGGAGGGCCGAGACGGCGGCATCACAAGGGTTCAGGAGATCGAAGACCATCCCTGGCTAACACGGCGAAACCCGCGATCTCTACTAAAAACACAAAAAATTATTTGGGCCGGGCGAGGTGGCGGCGCCTGTGGTCCCAGTACTCGGGAGGCTGAGGAGAGAATGGCGGGACCCCGGGAAGCGAGCTTTGACAGTGAGCTGAGGATCTGCCACTTGCACTCCAGGCCTGGCGGACAGCGAGACCCCCGGTCTTCAAAAAAAATAAATAAATAAATAAAAATAAATAACTTTTAGGGCCGGGCCGGTGGCTCATCCTGTAATCCCAACATGGGGAGGCCGAGGTGGGTGGATTGTACCTGAGGGTAAGGAGTTCGAGACCAGCCTGGCCCACAGGGTGAAAGCCGCCATCTGCTACTTAAAAACACTACAAAAAATCAGCCGACCATGGGTGATGGTGCCTGTGATGCCAGTACCTCGGGGAGGCTGAGGCAGGAGAAATTGGCTTGAACCCGGGGGAGGCAGAGGTTGCAGTCAGCCGAGAACGCGCCACTTCACTCCAGCCTGGGGCAACAGAGGCGGAGACTCTGTCTCAAGAAAATATAATAAATAATAGGGCGGTGCGCGTTGGTCAAGCTGTAATCCCAGCACTTTGGAGGCCGGAGGTGGGTGGGATCCACGAGGGTCAGGGAGATCGAGACTATCGTGGTAACATGGTGAAACCCCTTGTCTCCTACCTAAAAATACAGAAAAAAACTAGGGCCGGCGTGGTTAGCGGGCGGCCTGTATCTCAGCCTACTTGGGAGGCTGAGGCGGGAGAATGGCGTGGAACCCGGGGAGGCGGAGCTTGCAGTTGAGCCGAGATTGCACGCCACTGCACTCCAGGCCTGGGAGCACAGGAGACTCCGTCTCAAAAAAAAAAAAAAAAAAAAACAAAAAAAATAATAATAATAATAATACACTTTAAATACTTGATTGTTATTATTTATTTATTATTTATATTTATTTATTTATTTATTATGTTTAGAGGTCTCACTTTGGTTGCCCGAGGCTGGAGTACAATGGATCGATCTCCAGCTCACCGCAACCTCTTTGCCTCCGCCGGGTTCCAAGTGATTTTCTCCTGCCTTCAGGTCCTTCCCAAGTGGGCTGGAACCTGCAGGCATGCACTGCACCACCATGCTTTGCTAATTTTTGTATTTTCAGTAGAGATGGGTTTCACCATTTTGGCCAGGCTGGTCTCAAACTCCCAGCCTCTGGTGATCTGCCCACCTCAGCCTCTCCAAGTGCTGGAATTGCAGGTGTTTGCCACTACACCCAGCCCAGTTTCACAAGTTTTGTTTTGTTTCTTTGTTCTGAGACAGAGTCTCGCTCTTGTTGCCCAGATTGGAGTGCAGTGGCACAATCTTGGCTCACTGCAACCTCTACCTCCTGGGTTCAAGCAATTCTCCTGCCTCAGCCTCTCGAGTAGCTGGGATTACAGGCGCCCACCACCATGCCCAGCTATTTTTGTGTATTTTTAGTAGAGACAGGGTTTCACTATGTTGGCCAGGCTGGTCTTGAACTCCTGACCTCAGGCAGTCCACTGGCCTTGGCCTCCCAAAAAGCTGGGATTACAGGCGTGAGCCACCATGCCCGGCTTGATAAGTTTTAACATATGCTTATATCCATGAAACCATCACTGCAATCCAGACTGGGCATATCCATCACCTCCAAAGTGTCCTCGTGTTTCTTTTTAATCCCTTCTCCTACACCCCCACGCAACTGCTGAGCAGCTTTCTGTCACTATGTAGTAGTTTGCATTTTGCAGTTTTCCTTTGTTTTTTAGGATATTGTAGTGTAGTCATATTGTCTTTTCTAGGGAGGGAGCCAACGGAGGGTTAACGCGCCATATAGAACATCTATGTTAGTGCCCGGGGCTGGAGGCAGTGGGGCCAGATCTCAGCTCATTAGCACAAGCTCCTGTTAGGCCTTCTCTCACAGTGGTGTGAGTGTTGACAGCCATTCTCTCCACCTGAAGCC